TATTAATGGTCTATCGACTTGGCGAGTGTCTAATTCGGCTCTTATTCACGAGATATCCGATCTCATAAATACCATCAGGGGTGTAAAACCGTGATGAGCGACACGGGTCTTGGGGTCTTGCGGAAAAAAAAAGAAGACTATCATTCCTATCTCCAAGACGTATGCAAGACCAAGACTTTGCATGTTTTTCGAAACATTTTGTAAAGGTGCCACTTTTGTATAACTTCATACTCTATAAATATAGATAGAAATGACCCAAAAAAATAGTTGTTAATTAAGTTTGTTTGCTGCAATCGATCATTTTAGCTGTCAACGCCATTTGCGGTCTTGTATTTTTCCACGTAGTTTAGTTACGAATCATATTTTATATGTAAATACCTAATAATAAAAAAATATCAAATCTTTTATTTACCCTTTTTCTCCATATTTTATTAAATAATAAAAAAGGTTCCTCGGTAAATTATCGCTGGTAAATATGTGATTTATGGTAGACGTCGATAATAACTCATATTCATATAAAAGCTTTATTTTTTTGTCAAAACATAGCGCATATTGCTGTATTTGTTTAGGTGCTTATGCTTCTGTATCTTTTGAATACAAATTTTAAATAGCAGATTATGTTTCTTATTGGACAGTTAAATAGAAGACAATATTTACAAAATATCAGCGCAAACCGCAACTTTCTATCTTCTCTCTAAAGGGAGATATTAAGAGTACAAATCATGTTAGATTAGAGTTGGGGGTTGGAACCTTTGGTGTTACACAGCAAAATAAAACACTAAATCACCACAATACACCAAAACACTTTTACTTTTACACTGGACGCGCGTTTCGCTAACTATGTAGCATCATCAGCAGATAATTAAAACTCAAATGGTTAAAACTAAACTTTGAGTTTTAGTTATCTGCTGATGATGCTAACATGGTTAGCGAAATGCGCGTCCAGTGTAAAAGTAAAAGTGTTTTGGTGTATTGTAGTGATTTAGTGGTTTAAATCATGTTAGGTTGCGCTTAGGATTTTAATGTCTAAAAATTATAGTAGTAGACTAGGAAATAAAAAGTGGTAAATTGGTTACGTCAAAATATCAAAATGTATATTTTAGTTTCATTTTAACGTAATTTAATAATACTTATTTATCCATGTTCGTTTTTGATTCGACCCCATAAAAGAAAACCCAGGCATGTTTAATCCGGTGACCTAGCTGCCATATGGAAATATACCGCTCTAGCGTCTCTCTCTAATAAAGTAAGTGGTATTCAAGAAGTTCCACACATTCATAGCAAAATAATCTGCACAATAATTCTACCAACTGAACCGTCATGCCGAAATGGCAACAATGCAATTACATCATGGCGGATCATCTAACAAAATTGGCAATTCTTCTCTTAGAAATTGTGGATAGTTCATTCCATTCGGATGATAAAAATAGTCCAATCATTCGCCACCCTAGAAATCCTGCCCTAACATTTACCATCCAACGGTCTTGGTGCTATTTGCATCAAGGGTAGATTTTGACAAATAGTGCATATTGTTAACATTCGCACCTTCGTTGCTATATGAAAAGTTACCCGAACAACATAAAGTTAATAATATAATAATAAATAATGCGAACAAAAGAGGTAAAACACGAAAACAAGTGAAATCAGGAACGAACTTAGATTAATAAATAAATGGCATGAAAATAATCCCAACTTTTCGGCCATACGAAATTAGAGCATATATTCCTAAAAATTTAAATAAAATTATTGATTGTCCGAACCCCTTTTGGGAATTTTAATCTAATAACTACCTACATAAAATTAACGAAGAAATTCATAAAATATATATCATGTTAAAAAAAACATTAAAAACGTATGACATTTTTTTCTCGGAAAACGTCCGAAATTTGGATGCATGAAAACTAAACTTAAACGTTTTGATACTTTGACGTAAGCAGTTTACCTCTTTTTGTTTTTCTAGCCTGCTACTATAATTTTTAGACCTTATAACCTGCTTATAACCCCCTAGGCGGCAACCTAACATGATTTGATCGATAGAAAGTTGCGGTTTGCGCAGATATTTTGTAAATATTGTGCCCTATTTAATTCTACAAAAAGAAACATAACTTGCCATAATTTAATTTTTTTATGCAAAAGCTCAATATCTGTTATGATGTCAAACAGCGCCCTCTAGCTACCACGAAAAAATCTATGGAAACAACATTTATACTGGAAGTTATTAATAAAGAAAATCTGTTTTAAAGTCTTAGTTTGCTTAAATCGGCTAACCCAAACCAGAATTATTGTTATTTTAATAAATTCAAGTCTAACCTTCCTCCGTCACTTTTTTTTATGATGCAAAACACGCCATTTCAAAAAAATTACAAATAATTTATCGTATAACTTTTTTTCCAAAGTTATACAATAAGTAGTTTCTGAAATACAGTCAGCGTCCATTCTTAGTTGGTCACCCGGTACAACATTATTGTTTTAATTTATTACAAATGGTGTTTTAAATTTTCTGCCTTTTTTTGTCGACTTTTGCATGAAATTTTAAAGAAAGCTATACTGCAATATTCGAAAAATTTAATTATTTTAACATATGCTCAGACTACAATAAAACTCCTTAATTTAGATTTTTTTAGAGAAGTAGCTAAATAAATTCCAGAATAGTTTGAGTTACATTATATATTTTATTACTAGATAAGTTCTTAATGAAAGGTATGTTTATCTTTTTTTTATATTGTTATGTCTAGAGTGCCACTCATAACTTTTGATTAGAATTGTTTTATTTATATTCCGCGCATCTCTGATTTCGATTAAACCCAGTAACAAAAAGTTAAACGTTATTTCCCCAGCTAACCAAACTACCAGGGTCCGAGCAATTGCTCCCTTTCCAACAATTTTAATCAACTCACGTGATCGTAATGGCGGCATTGGGCGGCTACGTGACGCTGCTCCTAATACGTACCTGGAAAAACAAAAAGGGAAATTAGTTTATTTTAGTTGGAGAGTTGCTGCGCGGCGTCAGATGTTCGGTATACAACAGTTTCGGTCTTAACTTAAGCAATACCGTGTATATTTATGTTTCGCAGACGTGTAAACATTACACGTGCCTGCGTCTAAATTAAAGAAAAAGAAAAATACAAAGTTGCATTTGCTAAAACAACATATTAGGTTTATTATGGAAGGTTTCCTTTAAAAAAAGATGGCTGAATGCAGTGGCGGTTTCTCACTATGTGTGCACGTAAACCCCCAAATTTTATACCTCTTTTTAAGATAATTTTTTTATCGTTCTTTCATTCTGTGAGTTTGTAATCACAATTTATTTTGAAGACATTAAATAAGGAAATAAAAAATTGTTCGCATTTAAATTAATAAACAGCCTCTACACTATGCGGAAAAATCTTCGAAACAGGTCAAGGTAGTGTTTCATCGCCCAACTTTATGTCGCATTTCGGTTTATTTCCAGTTGTCTTGACACACTTCGGTTTGCCTCGACCTACTTTCGATTCTTAAAAGCACCCGAAAACTACTCGCGAAAAGGGCGTGGAAGGATTATTCTTGGCGCTTCTGGTTGCCTTCAATTTTGTTTCGTTGTGAGCTATTTCCAAAACGTGGCGGTATCTGTAACCTAGACAAAAGACCTTTTTTTCATAAATCTCAGTGAAATAAGTAAACCTAGACTTAGACGGTTAAATGATTAATATAAGAGTAGTATTACTTGATGAGTAATACTGGTAACATTATCAATACATATATCGAGCTGATTGGGAAAAATATTGATTGACCCGATGTCATCAAAAGTATGGTCGATGGATATTTTTTAAAAGCAATGTTCCTGTATTGTTCTTAAGAGAAATCTGTAAGCCATACTTTTATTAAGCACCCAGCATGTTTTGATATAAATCCATTTAACTAATATTTATTATGCAGGGATTTAGACAATTAAAGCTAGAAAAATAAAACCAAATTCGTAAACTAAACTTTGATACAGGCTACAGTATAAATGTTACTTTACCATAATCAGAAATATAAGAAATAATTAGACGATTTTTAAATTGTTTAGTGTATATTTTATCCATCATCCGATAAATGGTAGACCGCTAGTTAGTCACTGTTTTATATTTTTTTTACTATATTGTAATTAATAATATTAGACAATGATTAAAACTAAATATTCTTATGTAATCTTCGAGGAATAGCCAATTTAATCCCTACCATCGGTAACTGTTTTCATATCAGTTTTTCCATGTTTACTTATTTTTCTCAAACCACCACAACGTTTGACTTTGATTACTTCGTGCTATTTCACAAAATAGTACGTTAAATATAAGCCCATGTTATAAAATTTAGTTCCCACGTTTCCTGAAATAGATCGACACGAGCAATGATGTTTGTTTTTTATTGTTAACCCAGATTAACAATAAAAAACAGACAACCAATCACGGCGAGTCGCGATCTATTTCAGGAAACGTGGGAACTAATTTTTATAACACGGGCTTATATTTATCGTACTATTTCCAGAAATGTTTTGCGAAATGTTTCACGAAATATTTCCAGAAATATTTCGTAAGACATTTCGGGGATAGTGTAGGGGCTGTTATACAGTTGATGGCAAATTAACCTTGCCATTTTTTAGAATAAGAAAAGTGACAGTGGTATAGTAGAAATTGTTTTTATATATCTCTTCCATTTCATTGAGTCCTCAAACTAAATAAAATATTGTTTTTAATTTTTTTACAACAGTTCATGTAAGTTTTGTGTCACTTATTTCAGACCATCCTCTGTACTGTTATTTTTAAATAAAATAATTAAACTGAATATTAAGTAGATTTTAACACCAAAAATCTAGTTTAAAACAATTTATTTTTCTTGAGACACGTTTAATTCATTTTAACAGTAAAAGAAATCTTCTCGGTACATCTAACTGATGGTACCTACATTTTACGCATGCAAACCAGTTACTGTGCTGGTACTTCTGCAAATACAGTTTGTTTGGTTCGTGTCTTATGGTAAACACGTGTTTTTGAAATATTTATGTGTGCTATTATAGTTTTTTCATCTTTAAAAAATATTTAATTTAATTTAGTAGTAGATATTTTAATAGGTACAGTGTTTGGTGTTTTAGATACATTATTAGTTATGTAAGTATAAAAATATTAAGTCAATAAATTAAAAGTTCCTTATATTATATTAAAATACAGAATGTTTAATTTTTAATTAAAATTTTTAATTAGGACTCTTAATAATTTTAAAATTCCTGTCAAGGGTAAATATTGATTGTTGTAAACAGAAATCAACTAAAAATTGACAGTGGCACTTCTGTTTGTTTGTTTAATTTGTATTTTTTAGTCATCTTTTGGATAATGTCTGGCTCATTGGAAAGACTTTACTCACAGAACTCATCTAGAAAACGAATAAAATTTAAATGGGATTATTTCTAAATATTTTATGTCAAAGACTTTATTAAAGGGTTTAAAATTAGTTGTTCCTAAAGCTATACGGCTTTAATTTCGAATTATTAATTCAAATTTAACCTAACTACTTTAAATGTACAACGTAAAAGGGGTTTTTGTGGGATTAAAATCAAAATAAGTTTCCAGCATTAAATTTTAAAGACAATTAAGTTTTTTGAACTGAACCGATTGCTGTGTTTGAAATCTAATAAAATATATTTTTGCATTTTTCGAGATATCCTTATACCGAATATTTTTCTCCGCAGAATAAAATTCCTATAACTATTTTAATTTAACGAAAAGGTATATTATTACACTGCTATACAGGGTGTCTCAGAAATGAGAGATTTCTTGATAGTATATTTCAACCGCAAAAACACGCCTATGAGTTTTTTTTGCGAAAAAAAAATGTTGGAAATTTTATTTTTTTTTAACATTTTCTGGAAAATTTTAAAATACTTTATAGTGCCAGTTGTTTATTTACATGAGATTTCACTACGGTGTATCTAAACCTTGCATTGTTGCCACCTCCTACGTTACCCACATTCTACAAATTTCTATATTTACAAATTCACAGCAATTTTAAATTTCTAGACAAAAAATTAGGGATGATAATTTTAATCTTTTATCAGTGCACATTACTAATAATTCTAGAAAAAAAACCACTTTAATTATTTTTAGTACTTACCCTTTCAATGAAACCCTAACAGTAACAACCTAATACTAACTAAAACATTACTGTTATGAGGTTTTCGAAAATCTGATTTTTAAAGGCGTTTTGAACACAGGGCGTCAAATTACCTGAAAGTCGGGTAATTCTATGGTAGTTGACGATATTTGGCAGAGGTTCTCAAAATGTTGCCAGTATTTTTTTTAATTTTCAAAGTTGAATAACACGGTTATTTTCAATTTATTTTAAAAATGGTAAAGAGAAAAGCGCCCCTTCATATACTTATTTCTGGGACACCTCGTATAATTTCAGACTTTATTATTTTGAATAATATTATTTTTAATGTCATTTTAGGTTTTTCATTAGTTTGTACATTGTAACAATTACAACATTTATATTCAGCGGAAACGATGCAAAAGAAATTATATCAACAACTTCATGTAAATGCTGGGAAAACTACAGGGCAGATGTTGGCGAAAATGGTTTGCAATGTGTCGCCTTAGGTAAACAATTTTAATTAAATATATTTTCTAAAAATAACATTTAATAAAAAAATACGAATATCAGTAATATATCAACATTTTAGGAAAATTTAATGGAAACATTATTTTAATTTGCGTAATGGGAATATTATATCATCTTTGTTTTTTATTTTAGATCAATTCCATATTATGCCTTGCAATATGCCCAAATCTCCAAAATGCATTTGTTCTGGAGGCATCAGCAGCATCCTCAAAGACGAATCTGGTACTTGGTGTACTAAATATAGTAACGGAGAAGAACTGAGACGCTGGCCTTGTGAAAATCGTCAGGAATGGGATGATTTTCTCAAGAAAAACCCTACTGTTGTGTAAGTAAATTCTCTAAAAGTATTGGGAATATGATGGTAAATCTTCCACTAGGAAAAGAAAAAACTACAAGAAATTAGAATTAAAAGCATTACACTAATTAATACAGGAGTACCTCGTTTTACACGGTATATTTATATTCGGATTCGCTTATATGCGTTTGTATATTTTAAGCGGTTCAGTTATACGCGGTTTCATTAATTATACCGGGTGCGTCTCAAAAGTGGCTCACCCCAATAACTTTTTTATCTTTTTAGATAAAACAACAAGATTTGGTATGTTGTTAGTATATGACATAAATTGGGATTGATTGACGTATTCAATTGTTTTCGTTCACTTCCGGTTTTACCGGAAATGACTATAACTTTTGATTTTTAAATGGTACCCTCGTAATTTTTTTACATTATTCGATAGAAAATGACACTCTGAATCGAATGACATATCATATGTCAATTTTTGACATAGTCACTCAAAAACAAATTCTATTTTAAATTTCAATCTAGAGTGCCATGGCTGTGTTAAAAATACTAATTTTTTATCAAGAAGCCTTATAAAAATTGATTTGATCGTCTTATGTTTTTAGTGTCTTGTCCTGGCTGGTTAAAAGCTGCCCAAATCGTATTTTTAATCATATCTCAATTTTTCAAATGGAAAGAGGATGGCTCATTAGCATATTTGGAAAAAGCATTTTTTACGAATAGTTTGATACCACACGCTTGGTATTTTGAGTCAAATTGTCGTTACCGCATGTTACAATTTAAAATAAACCATATGCCAAAATGTCAAAAGTTGACATATGATATGTCATTCGATTCAGAGTGTCATTTTCTATCGAAAAAAGTGAAAAAATACCGAAGGTGCCATTTAAAAATTTAAAGTTGTAATCATTTCCGGTGAAACCGGAAGTTACTGATAACAATTGAATACGTCAATCAATCCCAATTTATGTCATATACTAACATACCAAATATCGTTGTTTTATCTGAAAAAATAAAAAGGTTATGGGGTGAGCCACTTTTGAGACGCACCCGGTATATTAGATAAAAAAGACAATACGAGAACAATCTAACGAGTTATCGAGTTGTAACATACAGAAATTATTGACCCATGCTCAGGTGCTTGGTATTTGCGTGAAACAGAAGTAAATGACTTACTTGAATCACATACTATTGAACTCACTGAAGAAGAAAATCAAAGAATTGGAGAATAAGAATGAAACTGATGAAAGAAATGAAGATGTACCTGGGTTGTACTATCACCACTGAAGTTAACACTGAAAATACTACACAAACATCTTATCATGGCCCATGATGTTTGCAAATTGTAGAAGGAAATTGAAAATTAAATAAGAGGTTTTTGCGACATTGACATCGTACATTTACTTAAGTGTTCATAGTATTTTTTATATTCATACATACATTTTATTATAAATGTTATATGTAATTATGAATACATATAATGTTTTCACATACATACTTGTCAAAATATCATCATCATCATTTTCAAATTATTCATTAAAAAATTAATTGGAAATTACCATTTCCAATTACGGTGTAGCCTTCCTCACATATTTAGAGACAATGTTTGTAGTTGGGCTCATTGTTGTCTATTGGTGGCTATGCGGGACCAAGTTATCCCTGCTAATTTCCTAATATAATGGTTCCATCTCAGGTTTGGCCTTCTTCTAAGTCTTTTAATTCCTCGTGGGTACCATGCTGTAATTTTTGCGATCCATCTGTTGTCCGTCCTTCTTGCCAGGTGTCCTACCCATTGCTACTTGAGGGATTTGATTCTGTGGATGACATTATCTGTTTTTTTTGTCGTATCCGCTCTATTCTTTTCGGCCTTTTTAGTCGTTCCCAGCATATTTCGTTCCATTGAGCGTTGTACGACTTGCAGTTTCTTTATAATATTCGTTTTAAGTGTCCAGGTTTCGTATATTTAGGTCAGGACTGGTAGTAGATAGACATTGATCGAATATTTTCTCCTTTAGATAAAATGGCATTATGATTGAGTTTCTCCCATAAGTACTCCATGCTAACTTAATTCTTCTGTTGATTTCTGGTAGTAGAGATCCCGAGCTGTGTATTAGTTGTGTGTGTGTGTGTCCCAAATATATGTATAGCAATATTCTTCTACTATTTCCTAGTTTTCTACTTTTATCTACTGTACTGTATCTTAAATAAGTGCAAATATTTTCAGCGCTGCCGCTGGTAGGTATCGATAATCGATAATAGAAATATCTTTTTTTTTCGCCGTTTTCATGTCCAATTTTTCTCAATATAATCCAAATTTCAGTTCCTTACAAAAATTCTTAAATGTTGAAATTTCGAAAACTACCTTTTCCTTCGTCAAAATTACACCACCAATCTTTATTGCCTAATTATTAAAATATATTTTTTAACAGAAAATTTAAACATTTTCATAAATATAAAACCTCCGTTTTGTTTTCACGAAAAAAACCTCATAGACGTATATCTGGTCTATAAATATATCACCAATAAAACATTTGCATTTATTTATGACTTATTCTGTATAATTTAGGTAATAAAAAATTTGTTTCAAGATAGGCGATGTTTACAAGGAACTACTATCTAATAAGACTCAAAAAATTAAGGAGGCTGTTCTGTGATACAATTCAATGAATTGTTTTCGTTTAAGTAACTTAAAGCAAAATCAAGAACCTGTAAGACTCCATCCGTAACCTGGAATGGGAATCCTTCAATTCCTTCAATCGTGCCATAAACTTTGGTATGATCAATATCAGAGATGGAGAGCTAATCTCTATAAAACCGTCTCAGATACTGGATTTTATCAGAGCCCTGAGATTGTATGATGAGTTTTAACTCAATATAGGGGGACACAGTAGATCTATAAGGTCGCGGTGATTAACCGCCCTCCCACCCATTCTACATTCTACATCCATATACAACTTATTAGCCGACCATATTAACAGGTATGGTAGGCTATTAAGATCGGCAATTTTTTTTTAAATTCACTCAAAATGAGTTATTTGGCCTAAACACAAAATATTTTCATGGTTTCTGTCTGTCTGTCTGTCCGTCTGTCCGTCTGTCCATCTGTCTGTAACACGATAACTCAAAAACCGCTAAACCGATTTAAACCAAATTTGGCACAAAAATACTGTGGCACCCGAGAATCTGGCTATTAGTTTTTGGTGGGGGTAAGGGGGTATGGGAGGGGGTTAAAGATTTTACAAAAATCCTAACTCCAAAATTACAGTAGCTAGCGAAACGCGGTTTTCAATTTAAGATTAGGAATAATATTTGCAACAAAATTTGTAATAATAACAAAATCAGTCAAAGTCGCAGTTTTTGAGATAATTGAGACTAAAAGAACTGCCTACCAACTTTTTATTAACATATTTTAGTATGGGCGGCTATATGTGCCTCCAGGCGCCAATTTTTTTGATATAAAATATAAGAAAGTAGAAGACTACAAGACAGACACTAATGAAGTATTTTTTTAATATTATATGAACTGAATTCTGTTGCAATTTTTTAATGTAAAATTACTCGGAAACTTGATTAAACCGGAAAACCAAAGCAGAAATTCGTGTAAATATAATGTGTAGCTTAGGATAATTAGTTTTAGTGCCTAACTTGATAAAATAAATAGAATAAAAAACATTTTTCCAAACATTTTTAATTCATTATTCTAAGCATATTCATACTAAAGATGCCAGTTAAACATTCAAATGTTCCGGTGGTCCTCTCTTTTTACATATTTCATACAGGACCATTTCGGAAATAAAATCTATGTTTATTAGATGTCTCACGTATATAAAATACTTCACGTCCACGAAATCAAATTCTGTGTTTTGTTTTTCCCTGTTTTCCCTCGGTTTTATGTGTTTTTTATTCATAAGGGTGCAGAGGTGCCAGCATACATTACCTTGTGTATGCGGAAGGTTATTGTAAGTTACAGTGACAGTCCTGTATTATATTGTTAAGCAAATAAGCCGAAATGTGTCAGATGATATCTTTTATTTCCTTTTTTAGAGAATGAAGGTATTTTGCAAATATTTTTAAAGCTTTTTCTCTATTTTTTGTTATATTGATTTTAAATGTGGCATTATTTATGCGTTATAAAATAACACAAACAAACTTCAATTTCAAAGTATATGATGGAAAAAACAAAGCCAATAACTTTTTAATAATAGGAAAATATCATTATTCAAATATTTTAAAAATTAATTTATTGGGATATATTAACAAATTAACCATATTTCTGACGACAAAAAATATTAAAAAACAAAAAAAAAGTGTTTCTATTTAAAAAAAGTACTTTTTATAGTTTGTTAATGTTATATTTTAACATTTTTATGTGCATCCTTGTCCAGATATTGACTCCCCTGATAATTTTACAGCAAAGTTGTAAATAGGGTTTTAGAACATCTGTATGCTGAATATACATGCCAAATTTGAATAATTTTGGACAAGCCTATTTTACGTAATTTATGAAAAATTGGAACTAGTTTTAAATTAAAACTGAACAGGTAATATAATAGCAGACCCTTAAAAAACCTGTTGACGACTTAGTTATAAGATTAATAAGGGAGCCAAAATTTGGACAGTTCAAAATTTGCATGGGATTTTCTATGTTTCCAACGACGATGCCAACACGCGGTATAACACTATACACGTATATTTAGAATTTCTTGTATGATTAAATACTCCAAAAATGTAGAGGGTATTCTATTTAAAATAAGCAACATTTCCTGTGAAACCGCCAGAGAACGGTTTCCAATTTTCGGGATCGGGATTCCATTTTAAAATCCCGCGATTAAAACTTATAATCCCGGGATCCCGGGAATGAACATCAGAATGAGAAATTTAATCTAAATAAATACTTAATAAAAATGCAGCTACATATATCAAAGAAAGTGAGAAAAGAGCTTTAATAAAACAGACAAAACAAACTAACATTCATATTTAGTAAGTAAAAAAATAAATTTTTTATTGTTGCAAAAAGACAAAATATAATAAACACCGAAATATAACTTTTAAATATTGGCGTTCGGCTTAGTACAAATAAAATATGATCTTTGAAAGACTAAAGTGTATAAAGTCGAATCACTTTAGATTGGGCATTTAAATATTTGGACATTTTCGGGATCCCGGGATTTAAAATTGGGATTTCGGGATCAACATACGCCTAGATCCCGGGATTTCGGGATCCAGGTTTGAAAACCTTACGCCAGAGGGTATATTTGTCAGAAAACGGAAAATATTTTAAAAAATACACCTGGAAATATTCTTAATTCCTAAACATTCAAATTTGTATCCAAATTGGGCCCTAAAATACCAGTTGAGTGAATAACCCTGTTTATTGCATTGTCATTTCCAAACGAATTCTGACGCCCTTTTTTTTCATCGTATGGTATTTATTTGTTACATCCAAAGGAATATGCATCAATAATAGTAGAAACTTTGTTTTAATTTGATAAATTTTGATAAGTTAATTTGATAAGTGATCAATTTGATAATTAGTCTCTATTATTGTACGTGCTATATCAAATACCTAATAAATATATTTTCCTTTTACCTATAGAATGGATCGCTACGAAATTTGCAAAAGTGTCAGACCACCAAACTGTATTTGTTCTGGTGACCTAGCCAGTGTTGCCAAAGATACCACAGGAATTTGGTGCATCAAGTATGACGAGAATATGGATGAGATCCGATGGCAATGTGAAAATATACAAGAATGGAGTGACTTTAAGAAACAACATCCCTATTATTTATACTGTTAAAATAAATATCGCCTATTGTTGATAAAAATTTGCTTGTAGTAATATGTAATGTGTTATTATTATCATTATTATAGAATTGATACTCTAAAAGTAGTGGTTGTATCTGTAATATTCTATTCTTCATCCACATACACTGCCTGTGTTTATTTAACAATAAAATGTTCATTTTAATATTAGGTATATTATTAGTTCAAATAAATTTAATTCAGTTATTGTCTCTCTTCTGGTATTAATATATTATCTAGATAGAATTCCATTATCTTTAATTCTAGGGTGTCATTCAGTTTAAAGAGAAAGACTTTCAGTAAAAAAAAATCAGCATTAGCAATCATGAAATGTGTCTGTAAAACATGGACATAGAAAGAGGACTTCATCGCAGAAGCTTCAGGTAATACAATGATCTAATGAATTTATACTGGGAATAACAGAAAAGGGGATATATAGGAGGTATGAAACTAAATTCCTCAAATATCAATTTACAGATCACTTAGCAAGAAGAACTGACGAAAGAAGAACCACCAAAATTTTAATATGACACCTGGAAAATTAAAAAAAAATGACGAGACTACGATTAGAAACTCAATCATATCAAAGCAGCGCAAAACAAACATGAATATGCATGGAATGCCATTACCGCAATCTACTGTAGAATAGAGCTAAATAAATTTGATAATAATAATAATAATTCTTATAGTACCTATCATCATCATCATTTTCAGCTTATTAAACCATTTTCAATTATTGGTGTGGCCTCCCCCGCATATTTAGATACTGTCTTTCTAATTGGGGCCATTGTTGTCTCTTGTTTGCTACGGCTTTTTTTGTATATATTGGCGAGAGTTTTTATATAAGGCCTGTCAATACTTTGTTTCGCCAGTGCTTCTATTATTGCCTTAGGATATATCGAGTCGGAAGTCTTCTAAAAGTCTTTAAAGTCTATGGCTAGTAGAAGTTCGTATTCTTTTGTTCAGCTGATAGTTTCTCTTAGTGCATGTATGTGATTGATTGTGCTGAAGCCGTTTCTAAAGCCTGCTTGTGTGTTTTGTATTCTGTTGTTTTATTATTTTCGTGAATATCTTGTATGTTACTGGTAATAAGCTTATTGTTAGTAATAGTTTCTGATATCTGCTTTGCTACCTTTCTTCTAAATTTATGTTGGCGCTATTCCAGTACCTAGGGTATAAATAATATTATAAGACCCTCACTTTTACAATTCAAAGGCTTGAGAACATACCCTAGGAAAAACAGATATAAAATATTAATACAGATAAATTGGAGTCGATTAAATAGCGACAATTTAATTCCACTTTGGTCATTTCTCTCATCCCCTAAAATGACGTTGCGCGACCCCATCAATTTTGCCCTTTCAACCTGACGCGATTGACCGCATTTTTTACACCCGCTTAAAAGGGGTCGTTTTTTCTTTCACCTGACGCCATCATAAATTTAAATGGATTAAACAGGCTAAATTAAAAAAGGCAAATTGGCTTGATGAGTCTGGAGGTGTGATAGAGGTAGAGGGAGGAATAAAGACCTGTGTGAGATGAGGTTGCAATGTAAACTTTTGGACAACCAGCTATGGACAATTTGATATTTTTATGAAAACATTTCCAAAGAACCTTTTTACGTGGAATTTAATGGTTGAAGTATAATCTTTATTAAATTAATAATTTAATTGATTTTTTATACGGGACACGCTGTATATTTTTAATTCATTGAAAACAATTTAAAATTACCTTTCCAAAAATATAGCATACTTTGATATTTTGCTCGATTCCTCGAGATATAAAATTTTTAAAAATTTGCCCACTTTAAATAACTAGGCTTTGAACGGCGCAGGCCGTAATGCAGAAAAATGCTAGCTGTGAGCAGCATTTAAAACAAAAATAATATTTGCAATGGGAGATGCAGAATTTTATAACAATTTAAACTATATTAACAACAAAAACACATGTAAACCATATCTTATAATGACATTTGCTATAGTCTGTCCAACGACAAGATCCTTGATAGTGATGATTATTGTCTGTCATTTTAATTTCAAAGTAGTAGTTTATTTTATTTTACAAAAAAATAAGTTGGAACAATTGGAATGCATAGCAGGAAATTAATATATTTAAAATTTGAGTGACAAGTGATTACTTCAAAATATTGTGAAAAAAACTGTATAAAACTGAAAAAATCTAATTGAGTTATTTTATTTAAAAAAACGATATGTGTTAATACAAAAAAAAACAAGAACAAAACACCACCTACCAAAAAATAAAATAACTATTACTTACTTTCAAGCTTCCCGCATTTATTATTATATTTATCAATATAAGTTATGTACAAATACAAATTTGTAATAATCCACAGGAATAAATAAAACAACACAAATAAAACAAATTATTTTATTAATAATAACTTACCGAATTTTATACCTTAAAGGTTGATTAATTAACTTTAATTTTAATTCTTTTAAACCAGTACCTTTTGACATTATTTTTCTGCAGTATTAAAATCCATTATTTACTTATCGTGTGATGTCGTTATTTTACAACTACTCCAGTTTTTAATATATGTTTAGAGTATGGTCCTTGTACCATATATGAGATGTAAATGGTATACAAACTTTATGATGGTAACTTTATTGGTGTGTAAGACTTTCTGCCTGGGCACCGAGTATTAACTAATATATATAAAGCTCTGGGTCTACAGTTAATTTTTCCTCCACTTCTTGACTTCAAAAGACACAAAACACGTAAAAACACGAATCAACATGCATCATCTTCCAAAACGCAAGGTATTTGACATAAGTTGACAACGTGGTTGACAAAAAATTATACCCTATAATTTGGCAAGACTTTGACAAGCCTCAAAAATCTAAAGGCGAGGTCATACGCATCGGCGTCCGTTTATCGTTCCGTCAAACCAATAAAACTGAAATATGATCTGTCATTTGTGAAATAAACCAATAAAACTGATTTAAAACAACAAGAGACGACGCATGACGGATTTATATTTAAACTATCCTTAACTATGGATGGTTAAAAAATATTAGAAACTTTTTTAGTAAAATAAGTAGATTGGTACGGTCGTCATCTGCTTTTTTTTTGTCATCGTCTGTCAAAGTCTTACCTGAGAAAAAAAACAGAGTATACAGGAAGTGTTCGAAATGTCGACCATCTTCTGTTATGTACAGACGGGACCCTTTCTGAACATTCCTCGCGAAATTCATTAACTCAGTGAGGGTGAAAGATACCCACGCATAACTGCAAAGTACTTCTAATTCTTGTCTAGATTATATGGACAATTTAAAAATAAGAAGCTTTAGTCTCCTGCAGAGATAAAAATCCATAGGTGCTTAGTTCGGTGTAGAGGTGTGTAGTTCGTGAACGAACTAGTTCCAATGAACTATTCCGACCCCGGAATGAAAGGAACTAGTTCCTGGCTTCTCAAAGGACTAGTTCCTTAGGACCTATTCCGGGATCGAGACTGTGTCCGATATAGAATTATATGCGACGGCGACGGATCGGCTAGCGCGCGTACCCCGATGGTAGGCAGGAGTGGGGAGTGCCAAACGTACGTTATCGGATCCGGACGTAGAGGAACTAAACTAAATAGACAGTTAAAGCACGGCCAAAGACGTAGACGTAAACGTATCGTTTGACATGTACGCTTGCGCAGTGTGAAATTCACTTGCGTTTACGGATACGTGATACGTATCTTTACGTGCCTTTACGTACGTACAAAACGCAAACGTATCGAGCCGAAGGAGTTTCGATTTTCACCCGAATGATGCCGAACGTACAAATTCACAAACAACTCGTTTCCACAACTGGCTAGTAATTAAGTTATTTCATAAATTTTGGGGCCAGTGTCACAGAACTGGGCCTATTTTATTACAATAAATTAGTATGAAAATATTAAGTATCATAATAAACTCATTTTGAAATCTATTTAATTAAATGCTAGTTCTTATAGGCAAAACCATAATACGAGGATTCTAAAAGATGGAATCTAATAAATAATCATAAAGCTGTGTCTGTTTTCCAATATTTTTTTTATTACGAAGAGCATTTTAAGTTGTAAGGACTACTTTCTGTAATAAAATAATTTCCATTTATAATTTTCTTCAGTTTTCGATAATACTTTTATAAATTTAATGTGGAATCAATGGAGTAATAGATATCCATTTTCAATTTTAAAATTAAATAAATTGTTTCACAAAATAATTTAGAATTACAAATGTACCATTTGCGTTACGTAAGTCAAAATACTTGCTTTAACTCTTGTTTACACGACAACGCAACGGCAGACGTAACGTAAGTTTCTGCGTTACGTGTCGAGAGATACGTATACGTATTGTGCCTTGCTTTAACTGTCTAATAAAAGACTAGTTTACGTACGAACTGATCGGGCAAGCGCGATCGATGCTAGGCAGGAGTGGGGAGTGCCAGCCTTATGCCGTATGTTATCGGATCCGGACCTAAAGGAACTAGAGGAACTAAATAAAAGACTAGTTTACGTATGGATCAGCCAGCGCGATTGATGTTAGGCAGGCGTGGGGAGTGCGAGCCGTATGTTATCGGATCCGGACATAGAGGAACTATTAAAAGACTAGTTCACGGGAATCTATTCAGTCGGCAGATCCGACATATAATACAAGCCAACGACGATGGATTCGGCCTTGTCTATTGCCGCAGCCGGCGCGACGTAATTACCACAGAAAATTGTCGTGGATACTGTTTTTGATTTTAGTTTGTTTTTTAAATATTTTATGGGAATGTTTCACTTTAGGTCCCTAAAATTAAGAAATATCTTATAAAATGAAGCAGATATTCTGAATTTTTAGACAAAAAAAAGAGATTGAAGTGAGGAAAAATGCATTCGTAAAATTTTTGTAATATTTGCTCCAATTGATTTGTGATATAGTTTTTTAAATTCTGATTTGAGTTTTTTTTAAATTTTTTTATCTGCTATAAAACTTACCTATATGTTTTTAACATACACAATTACACGTCTCGTTATATCTCCGTACATTATGAAAATTATACAGATCATACTGTGAATAGTTCTGACTGACAATGAAACGCATTAGCAAGCAAGGGGGATGTCAATGTTAGTCG